TCTGCCGTTTCAGTGATCCACTGTGCCAGGTGATAAATCCAGGCAAGGAGTGACCAGAAAAGCAATCTACCAGGAGACTTTCTGGGGAAGAGAAAGTTTTAAGGAGGGCAAATTGAGGTTTACAGGCATGTTTTCGTAGAAGTTTAGGTTCTGGCATGTTCAGCTCTGGGTTTAGACAAGTACCACAGATAATTTTGTTTTTCTTAAGGAGAAAACAGTAGAACCTCAAAAGCAACAATCTGGTCATTGGCCCTCTTCATTTTAAAGCAGATAGTGTTCACCTTTTCAGTGCCCTGAGAGTTTGGACTTTTATTTCTATTTGCAACAAAAGTAGATGTTCAACAGTTGAATGTGAATCATCTGAATAGAAAGCAGGACCAGTTGGAGTAATGAAGGCTAAGAATTTTAGGACTCACTTTTGCTAGAAAGAAATAGATATATAAGTTGTCCTTTTAATGCCTGGGATTGTGAGATGCCTCTGGGAGTCTGTGCTGAGGAAGTCCTGTGGTCACTATGACGTGGTAGAGAAAAATCTGGCGAGGAGCGGCCCCTTTCCACTTCACTTTGCTTTTCTGTAAAATGGAAATTCTATTCCCTGCCGACCTTCTAAGTTAACCACAACAATCAAATGAGTGATTAAATAATGAGATCTTTTCCTGATAACCAGAAGTCTGGATATGATGTGGGCTTACAACGACCTCATCTCTGGCATCACTGGAATCTCCTGCACCTTCCCAAGACTTCTTTGAAGTTGTTGTTCCCATTATATAGATGAAGGAACTGAGGCTTAGTGGAAGGGATAAAAAAGGAAAAGTGCTCAAGATTACCCCCTAGTAAGTGACAGAGCGGAGACAACTTCAGTTCTGGAGCTTTCTGACATAACTGAGTATGTGTTTCAACACATTTCCCTAAAACTCTATCTGGGTTGTTTTGTTTTGTTTTGTTTTTTAATTATTATTAAATTTTATTAGTTTTAATGAACATTTAAAGGGATTTTGGGTTTTCATTCCTTCATTGCTGCACCGTTCTCTCTACCTTCCTCCCCAGTTTGTTCTTCTTCCCCGCCATCTGAATGTCTGTTTTAATTGTCCAATTGCCACAGTGCTTGTCAACCTGGGTTGTTTATTTGTTTGTTTGTTTTTCTTTTGTTGGGAGGTTTTTTTAAATGGCTTGTGTTATAACTGACAGTCCCCAGGCTGGGCCCTGTTTGTATTATTTTCTGTGGGTTCCTCAGTTAGGCACCTTTATCCTCACTGGAGGACAGAAGCCCAAGTCTTCCAGGAATTTGGCAGGCCCCAGCAGGAGGCAACCACAAGCCTTTGGCAGAAGATCGCTTTTCAACATCTCTGTCAGTTCCAGTGACCCCCGACCTTCCACCTGCAGGCCCCCTCAACAGCTGCTGATCTGTGGAACGCAATGGCAGTCTATCTCCCTTTAAAAGGCAAATGCATGTCCCCCTTCTCAGCCTCCCCCACCCCCCAGGAACCCACCTGAGATTTCATCCCAAGCAGGAGGTCAGTTTGTACATTGAGAAATTAAGAGGAGGAAGGGGGTGGGGCGGGATGGGGGAAACAGCTTTGACATCAGGCCCTGAACTTTCTCTTTTAATATAAGCCAGATTTAACATATGTCATTCTGTAAATCCGGGAGTCCAATTTGAGGCTTGTAATTTTCTGCAACCTTCCCTGTGTTTCAGAGCGAGGTGGACGGCCGCCAAGCACATCAAGGTGGCTGGGGGGAGATGTAATTTACCCTTGGTGAGGCCGCGGCTCAGTTCCCTATTGTAATTTTTATTTGTGTTGAGGTTTTGTGGTTTTCAAAAAGTCAACTAGATTTATTTTAAAATTAAGCCAGCCCAACATCAAAGGCTGCAAGAGGAGGATGTTTAGGTATTGTAAAGAAACCCTGGACAGTTAATCTTTTATAGCTGGATTCTTTTTCAGGGCACATATCAGTAAATGGTTAAGGGACCTTGCATAAGCAATTTGCTATAGATCTGTAGCCTCAAACTTCCCCACTAGGTAAAAAGACCCTTTCTAATGGGACTTAGAAGCCCCCTGTCACCTCCTTCTCAACCTCTTAATCTAATCCTGTTTGTAACATGACATGCTGTATGAAGAAGAGTGCAGGCTTAGGGCCTTTCCTACTTCACAAGCTCCTGACACCCGGGTTCCTGCGGCCCTGGGTTCACTTTTCCCTGGGAGGATCTCTTGTAAACCCCAGAAGTGCTTTCTGAATCACTTACTTGGGAGACAAAAGAAAGTTTATATTGAAAAATTCTCTTCAAAAACAGGCCAAAACGAATAAAGGCAAGTGATACATAAAGAGGTTTTTCTCTTTCTTTCTTTCTTTCTTTCTTTCTTTCTTTCTTTCTTTCTTTCTTTCTTTCTTTCTTTCTTTCTTTCTTTCT